GAGCATTTTGTGGGTGCAGATCAAACTTTTACACTGCAGACCCCCCAACATAAACTGTACTTCCCAAGAGTTTCTGCATTACTTTATTTCTTCTTGAATGCCTCCGCTTGTCTGAGAAGCTGCAACTTCTACAATATACCTGCCTAGTAATGGCAGAAGTGGCACCAGGTTGGTTGTCAACCAGGCTTATTTCCAGGGGTATAAAGATCTATTGATAAGCAGATATGGCTAATACTAAGCTTTACTATTTGATTCTGAAACATCACTTATTAGCTGTAAAGAGTGTTCAAGAGCAAAATAAGAAGTCCAGATGTTTTATATCTTCATGATGTACTTAAAGAAAAAGAGATGCTTTTTAAAGTTAATCTGTTATTATTAAAAAACTTTTGATCAGAAATATTTAATTCTGTAAGACTAAGAGCAGAGCTATGTGTATTTCTCATGTATTACACATGGTTAATTAATCCATATGTGATCAGCACAGACTAAAAGAATTGAACAACAGTAGAAAAGAGAATATGGATTACTTAAAATTTAGCACTATAACCAGCTTTCATAGCAAACACTTCAGAGGCACTGGGGAATCTCTAACCCTAGAGATACTCAGATCTTGACTAGAAAAGCCCCAAGCAGCTTGATGATGAAGGACTGAAGTTATATGCAAGTTAAAAGCTGGCTATGCTCTAAGCAGAGTGGTCCAGATGATCTCCAGAGATCCCTTCCAAACGAAATTTTCTGTGGCTCTATGAACAAGCCTTACATTCTATGCATCTAGAGCAAAAGTCAAATAGGATTAGGGATCATATAGACTGAGTTAATTGTCCTGCTAGTATGAAAGAAAGAATACTGCATCTCAATGCCTCTAGATGTGTGTGACCTGAATTCAGCAGCACTGCAGACTTTCAACAAACAGGTTTTGAGCCGTCTGGCAGGCAGAACTATTTTCACTGCCCTTTAAGAAGAAGATGGATAGTAACAAATAAAATTTGATGCAGAACATTTGTATCTCTATGTTTAGTACTCTGTATACAAAGGGCCTTTTTTGCTGCTTCTGTTTTGAAATTAAACTGCAAGCAAGGCGTTTTAGCTGGAAAATGAAAACATCTTTGAGATGTACAGGGGCTCATATAACAGAGAATGATATGGTGACAGCAACGGAGCAGTATGATCAAGCAGTGTATCAGGTGAAAGATAATGTGTCCAAAATATCAAGTCCAATAACCAGCAGTTTTTATTCAACTTGACAGCTGTCAAATGAGTAGGACAACGCAGTCAAGCAGCAACTTCATTGCAGTGGACAAAATAAAGGGGTCATGGAGGGATATGAGTCACCCTCCAGTTCAATAGAACTGGTTCAAGTTCCTAAACACCTTTTAAGTGTGTTCATTTCATATCCCTCAAGATGAAAAAGAACTCCCTTTGAAAGCAATGCTGGAGACTGTTCCCACTGGCAATCAGTGGGAGTGGTAGTCACACAACAGTGAAGACCAGTGCAGGGAGAAGTGGTATGGGCCCTTTTCCCAAAAGTTAAAGAGAGAGCTTTGTCTTGTACTTCCCTGTTACTCTTGGCTTTAGACACAGTGCCTTCTGAATCTTTTCGCACCCTTTGTTCCATAATCCAATTATGTATAGCAAAAGTTCTGCACTTGGGTTGTGCCAAGCTTCTGGAACAGTGCTTTTTCTTATATGTCCCAGTTCTAGTCCAGAAAGGAATCCAACACAGCCACAAATTATTTGGAAAGGGCTATGCATAGCAAGGTAACAAAGTTTCCTGATGATACCGACTTAGAGGAGTAAGAATGAGAACTGCATGTGAGGAACTGTAGAAAGACTTTGTGAGATGGGGCAGTAAACTGGGAGCTGAAAATTAATTGGAATAATGTAAAATGCTGCATAGGGGAAAATCTAGTCCTATCTTCACATTTAAGCCCATATTTTACATAATTCTAAAACTCCTTTGCTTGACAGAGTATTTTTCTTTCATTTTAGCTTTGAATGGAGCTACAAGAAAAAAAAAGATTTATGGAACAGCTTCCTTCTTTTATGAAAGCTACTTTTGTGTTGGTCATAAAAGGGTTTATAAAGACAGAAAAAATGAAAATGGGAGGAAATAATAAAATAATAGCATCTCAAGAAATGTTACTGAGCTGTTAGTAAACTTGTACTAAATAACTTTTCAGAGAATCTGTGATTTTCAGGGCAGTTTTATTCCAGGCCCAGCTTGGAAGGACTAACATACCACTGAATCATTGCAGGACTGTTTCTTGCATATACATGGAAGCTGATCATAACACCAAGTGTCTTCCATATGATGTTTTTTCTTTCTTAATCAATATGGATACTCTGTTGAGAATATGGAATTAATACCTGCAGTGCAAACAGAAAAAAAATTAGTTTCCTTATGATTTAAAGTACATTGGGTAAAGATGAGATTCTTCCTTTGTTATAGCAAATAAAAGGTTTATTACCAATAAACAAGTGTGTCAGTATTAGTTATTGGGGACAATATGAAATATTCTTGAGCAAAAGTAAGGACTAAAGTTTTTATTTAAGCTATCTCAAAATTACATGGATACATAGGAAGCATGTGCATTAAGGCTGCAGAAAAGGTTGAAAGTATTTTCACATCCCATTTTTTAATAACTATTTTAAATAATTACTTAATAAGAATGGTGGTTGTGTGAAGTGTCAGTAATATGACTTAAAAGGATAATTTATAAAATGCAACCTCATACAGTTGATGACCAATATCCTGTTCATAAAACTAGTATCAAATGGAACCTTTTCCTAGTAAAACAGGAAATTCCTATTGGAATATTAATTACGACCTTTGATGAAGCAATGTTACAAGGTGAACTACTTTCAGAGTGGAAATATTAGCATTACAGTGCATGATACAAACATGATGGATTACAACAGTCCTTCAGCCTTGAAATTTCAGGTTCTGAAAAGGCAGTTTACTCACAATGAATTCTAAGCACAAGGCTGCAGTCATTAAGCCAGCACAGCTAAATTGAGACAAAGGACTTGAGCCAAATTGCACTGTTTCACTTGACAAATCAAGATTGTCAGAATTTAGTGTCATACAGATCACATTGAATAGCATAATTGGTTTTGGTGCTGTCTTTGTGAATATTTAACTTAATTTAAAAAAAATTATTCCTGACCTTTCTTTTAATATTTTGCAAAGCTTTTCTTTGCTAGTTTTCAATAAAAAGAAAACAAAATAAAAGAGAATGAGAACTGCAAAACCTTTTGTAAGAGTTTTAAATAATGGTTTGGCTGCTGCATCAGTACCCAAAACTTCTTTGATGACTTTGTCAAGAGACTGCTCTACAACCCACTTCATCAACTTGCAAGCACAGTAGAAGACTTAAAAGAAAGTAACAGTTGGAAAATAGCAAAATTCTACAATGAAAGCATGGTGTTTGCATTCTACTAAAATACTATTGAACCAAGTAGTGGGGAAAGCAATTATGTCTTTTTTTCTACTCCATTACAAAAAATATGCTATACCCAATTTGTACTAGAAGTAAACAAGGGTTACAAATAAATCTTCTTCATGAGCTGCAAATTGGAAATTGCAGAGCATGCAAGATATGCTCCACTGTAAGTCTGTCAGATGCAGCAAAGTGAGCCATGGATGTGGAATAGCTGGATGGAGTTCCATAAACAATTTTAATTTATAGCTGTGTAGATGCAAGAGAAAGCTGTTTTTTTTTTATTGGTCACGTAATTCTGGTTGGTTTAACTGGCCAAACACCAGAATAATTTTCAACTGGTTCCTATTTACTTGCAATTCACCAAACAAGTAAGGGACTGTAAGCAGGTGGGAGAGAAGGGCAATATTCTGTTCAGAATATGTTTGAAAGAGTGGTGAAACTTCCAGCATTTCTGTTCAGAGAAAAGCAATACTTTGCTTCAGGAAAGTAGATGCTATTCCAACACACAGGAGTAGAAAACATAAGCAGCATAGTAAATCTCTCTTATACACCTTAAAATCCTGTTTCTGGTTTGTATGATGACCTTCATTCCATAAGGTATTTTAAATATTTTAAGATTTGTATGTAATCTTGATTTAATAGGATATATATTTTGTTAAGCAAAGATTGATTAATTAATTATATTTTTAACTATAAGAAGTAGATATTTGATTGGCTTTGCTTATAAAAGCAGAACTGTTAAAGAAAAAGCTATTTTAAGGCTCAGTTCTATACAATTCCTGTGTGTAACATTCACTACCAGGGACAATGGATCTGTTGGACTTCAGTGGATTTGTTTACTGTAGTTTGGATGACAAACCTCAAAAAAACACATATTTGCAGCAACAGGCCCCCAGGATGTTTCTATTTTTACTGCCCATCTGTAATGGTATTACAGTGACCTGCTAGTTTAACGCCAACTTTGAAAAATAACCCTTTGGATATTCCAGTGTTTGGAGAGGAAATGTCTGTTTCAAAAGCCCGGAGCTATATGGATACTGCATATTTTGGGAATAAACTCCTTGGTGGATCAGTGCTTCATCAGTGCTTGGTGGATACGGTGAAGATCAGGGATGGAATATCTGCTCTGGAAAGGAACGTGGACATAACCTTTCGCTCATGCAGGACCTCATATTTTTGGAATCAGGGCAAAATACATCCCGCTTGCGGAAATAGTCAGCGCTGCTCCGCTCTGCTCCGGGGCACGCCGTGCTTAGGCAACAAATGAAGGATTTTCCATCCCAGCCGCAGCCTCTCGGCCGCCGGGCACCTCCACCCGCAGTCTTTGGCGCATGAATCCTGACCGGCCCTCGGTGCCCGGGCCTAGGAGAAGCCGCCGGCCTCGTCCCCGGGGCAGGGACACCGGGACAGGGCCTCGTACCCGGGGCAGGGACACCGGGACAGGGCCGCCCCTCACGGCGGGCGGCCGGGCGCGGTTTTCCCGCCTCGGAGGCTGTTCCCGCCGCGGGGCGCTGGCGGCAGCGGGAGCCCCCTGAGGGTGGCGGCAGGACCCTGGCCCGCGGCTCCGGCTTCCAGCTGGGCAGTCCCGCGCTCCGAGCCTGAGGGCAGGGGAACGCCGGGCACTCCGAGCCCCGGGAGGAGAGAACGCCCGGGGGAGGCGGGGGAGGCGGCTTGGCTGCGGGGGAACCCCTCGCCCCTGAGGGATGCTCCGCCGGCGGGTGCCACAGGGCGGGACCGGGGCTCTCGGATAAACACTGCGGAAGGCTGAAAAGGGAAAGCTTACAAGAGGTTATACAAACCAAGAGGGAGAGACGGCTGCCTTCACACGTAATTCCCAGAGAGGGAAGAGGGCCGGTGACTGCCAAGAGGGAAATCACCTCGGCGACAGGACAGGGAAGCCCTGTCAATTGCAGCGAGGGGAACCCCTCAGGGAGGGACAGAGCAGCCTCAGGGGAGGCGGAAAAGCCCCGAACGTGAGGATTCATTTTACAGGTATATCCCTCAGTCACTTCTTGCCAAAGTAATTTTCCTGGGCCATTAAAAATGTAAATCTGTCAATTTAGGAACAGTACGTGATTACTGAATCCCGTAGTCCTGGTTAAGATAATTATTTGTCTTAATTATGTAGTTAATGAAAGGTTTTGAACATGTTCCTGTCGTCTCTCAGGTGTCAGCCCCGCACTGTGACTGGGCTGTTCAGAGGCATTGATGAGGCAGGCTGATACAAGTGTGATAAATCCTCTCAATCGCTATAAAGAATTTAATTCAAATTATGTTCTTCACAAGAGGCAGATCACTTTTTAAATTAAACTGACGAGTACATTTACCTTGAAGAAACATGCACTAAACCAGCACCATCACCAGCACCAGGACATTTAACAACCCGTATTTGTGCAACAGCACTGCCTCTTTGCATATGAGGATAAAACCTGATACAGTGTTTTGGCATACCTGAGAGCTTTTGATCAACTTTCCTACAGTTGCACTTTACAACTTGACACACAGTGGAGACAAGAGTGGAAATTTCTTTTAACAATCGATATTTTAAGAGTTTGAAAGAATCTACTCTCAGATTTAGAGGAGTTCATCAGTGGTTATTACTTTCCTGATATTTGTTCTTAGTATTCAGGGTTTTTTTGGCAAAAATACTATGTAACAAATGCATTAGAAAATGGAATTAATCTCTCTAACTTGTCAACATATCAAAATATCAATTTTATTTTTGCAAAAATCTGAAATTTTAGTAAACCTTTTTTTTCTTAAGTTCTGCATCTTGGCTTTTAATGTTCTGTGATTCTGCCTTTATCTCAGGTCTGTAATGTGTGTATATATGTTGTAATAGATTCTATAGATGATAGAATTACTAATTTCTTTTTCTTACAGAGTTAGGAAACCATTATGATACAATTTATGCCTAAAACTTTAATATTTTTAGCTTTCAGGACTGTCTCTGCAAATATAGTACTGATTTTTGAGAGCATGAAAAGTGCATATTCCAAAAGATTTTTATCTGCATCGCCAGATGAAACTGAATGTTACCTTTATGCAAAGAGAAATAAAGCAGACAGTGGTCAAAAAATCAGAGAGGAAGAGGAGCAGCAAAAGCAAGAACAAAGCATACAGTGTGGGAGCAAGGACCAAACATCATCACATGAACTCCTCAATTCGTCAGAAAGACAAAACAACTGGGCATTAGAAAAACAGAGTTGTGATACAGCAAGAAAAACTTGTATGAGGGAGTTTTTCAGTTCTAAAACTTGTAGTAATGAAGGATTACCATGTAGAGTATCAGAAAATGAAGCATTCACCAAAAAATGGAGTCCTGAAAATGAAGACCAAAGTCCTATAGAAGATGACATGTCCCTGAATGTAGGTGGACAGCCCCTTGAAACAGAGCTGCTCAATGTGTCAAGACCTGCTGACACATGTCAAAATTCACCGGCACTAAACTCACCCCAAGTGCAGCAGAACAACAGTGCACAACAAAATAATAAAAGAAACGAGGATAATGAGCTCAAACAAAATCCTTCAGTTACATCATTGAACACACACATGTTTCAGACTGAATTGTTGAGTCAAAAGTCTGTCTCCAATAAAAAGTGGCAGCGATACCAGCTTTTTCAAATTCCATTTTTGAGTGGAACAAATTCTATGTTTTCATGTGTAGAAAATAAAAAAAGTAAATTTCTGAAAAATGTATGTTTTGCAGACTATAAAAATTATTCCAGTTGCAATAAGGAAACTACTGCAGAAAAAGATAATAAAGAGAAAAATAATTCAATGTATATAATGCAAATATTGAAACCTCTTAAGAGTATACAACCACTGGAAATCCCTAATTTTCAATTTCCTAGGATTTCAAATAAAATAAAAAGTAAACAATCATCAACTAACTTCAGGGAAACAGACTGGAAGAATTTTGAAAGTGAACCATCTTTAATGCAATCTAAACAGATACATAGTGTGCAAAAAATGTCTGAGATAGGGAAACAAAAAATGCAAAATGATAAAAGCAGTAAAAGTGCCTCAACTGTTGGTTCTGAATTAAAAGAAATAAATTGCCCCCCCGTTAACAAAGAGGAGCACAGCACTTTGGCAGAAGGAGAAGTATCTGGAACTTATGTCAGATGCAACAGCACTGACACTGAATGTAATAAAATATTTGCTGAAAATGACTTCAAAGATAAAATAATGGAGAATTCAGAGAGTGGTGATGACCAGAAGTCAAAGATTCACATTTACATTAGTGCTAAAAATGTTCAGAATGAGAAATGTGTCAGCTCTAATGATCTTTTGCAGAGAAGGGGGAGGAAGAGCGCTAATGACAGTGTGGGAATGTTTCATATGCAGATGAGTATTCCAGTAACAGCAGAAGCATTAGAGAAAAATAAGTTAAATGTACACTGTGGTGTGCATGATTCCAACAGGGATATTTGTTTGTATGAAGCAGAATCAAAACTCTCCACAAAAAAACCACTTGATTTCCAAAGTTATGTGACAAAAAATATTATAGTTAAAAGTAATTGTTCTTGCATTACTGTGCAGGATTTACCATATAAGAGAGCAAGTTGCAATGTATTTATGGGGAAGGAAATGCTCAAATTAAAGTTCTCATTTCAAAACATGTTGTTTGGGTGGATCAGGGTGTGGATTGAGTCTTTCCATGAAGATATGCCCGCGTGTCAGGATGACAGTGTTACACCTTGGTCTCACTGCTGTGCCACATTAAAAGAGCAGTGTGTTGCTCAAGAATTAGTAAGGAGCACTATAAATAGGAGCCACAACGATAAAATATTCATGTGTTTGCTGGCTGCTGTTTCCAAGCATCTGAAAGTGGAGGTACTAAAGAAAATGCTTGCTTCCTTTTTCAGTAGCACAAATACTATATTGACAACTGAGGGGAAGTCTGTGCGAGGAGAGAAACAGTCCTTATGTGGCAGAAAGCAAAATCAGTTAAACTCATGCACAGATGATTCTTTGAGGCAAACCACAGGATTTCTTAAAGAAAATGAAACTTATCCAGGATTTGTAAGTTCTAAATTTGTGGAAAGCATTGAGTTGCATAATGGATACCAGAGAAGATGCTTTTATAGAACTTTAGGTGAAGAAGAGTACCCTTTCCTTCAAAGAAGAGCTCTCTTTCGTAACCAAAAAAGCAGATTATGTAAGGGAAGACATGTCAGGAAACACCACCTCTTATCCAGAGTGACTGAAGGGTTTAGCACTGATTTGAGGTCAGTCAGTCACAAAAACAGTATGAAAAGGCAAATTTTACCTGCTAAATACATTATCTTGCTGCAGGGCTCTTCTGATAGTTCTTCACTACACAAAACTTATTGCTGCAATATCACAAAAGTACAGTATCTGATAAGAACCAGTCTTGGATACCAGAGTTACTTTCCTGCTGATTCACAACCAAAATTTGAAAAGATACATAAGAAAAGTATAAATCAGGAAATATCAGTAAATACTCTAAAGCAGGAGAAGAACAAACCAAGCATAAGGCTTAATAGCTCTTTTCATGTACAATTATTTAAAACAATCCCTTTCATTTTATATGAAAATAAGAAACACAAAACAACTGGATACAGAAATGGTATAACTTCTACAAATAAAGTTACTAATGAAATAACATATACCATGAAAAAATGTTTGAGTAACTCTAGTTATAGAAATACTGATGAAAAAGAATGTATTAATCAAAAAGAGTTGCAAATGAATTGTCATGATTTTCTTTATAAAAAATCTTTTTCTGTTTTTGACACATATGAAAAAATTCCCCTAGCCACTGATTCTGAAGATTTTGACCAAATCCCACTTGTAAAACAAGACAGTTCTATCAAAAAAAAGTTGTGTGAAGGAAGTGCAGTCACTTGTTCAAAAGAAATCCAGTGTTTGCCTGTTAAATCAAACGATGTCTTAATTCCAGCTGAGCAGCCAAAAGCAACCACAGAAGAATATAATTCTCTCCTCTTGTTAGATGGACAAATAAACAAACATGAGAATTGCAAAGACTTAGATACTTGTAGCCCACATCTAGCAAATGAAAAAGTAGACAACCAAAATACTTATTTATTCTCTGAAAATTTATTTCCTAGCTCCTCAAATATTTATCAGTCTGTCCCTTTGCCACTGGATAGCAGCTCTTTTGTCAACAGAGAAATAAGTGAAGATGGGCACTGCAGGAATTCCTCAAGTGCAGGAAAACAAAAGGCAAGTGAAACAATTCCTGACAAGGTACAGTATCTATCCGGGAGCAGTCCTGCCATGACAGATACAAACTTGCAATTACAGGGGAAAGAAACTGCACCGCTTTCTGTACAAGGCCACGAAGAGACGAATGAGACAGGCATTTCAGAGCCACCAACTTTGAAACATCTTGAATATGTAAAAGAACAGGAAGAGAGAAATTATGAACAAATGCATGTAACTAATGAAAATCAATGTGAGACTGTAATGAATAACTTGATTATGTCATATTCAGAAGATAAATCTGAAACATTCATTGCTCCTGACGAGGAATTAAAAATGCCTTTATCCATAATGAACAATGGATGTCTTGAAGATGTAAAAGATAAGTATTTACCCATAGAAAATAAAATCACCCACGAACTTGAACTGAAGAGAAAATTTGATTTAGTGCTAGAAGAGCTACATATGTTTCATGAAATTAGCAAAGAAAATGTAAACAATTTATCTAGTTTGGAAACAAATTTGCCCAACACTTATTGCGAATTAAATAAGGCTGAGGGAATGGATGAGAACATGGCAAGGGATTCTCAAAGAAAAATAGGTATTTCTTCTCCAATCTGTGGTACCACAAAAGAAAAACACATAACTGACATTAATGAAAGTTCACTACATGAAAAGATTTTAATTGAGAATGAAGACCAGAAAGTATCTAAGGAATGTTCTATTTCAAGAATGTCAAGCAAAGAATTGCTGCACTCTCCTGCAGAAGGTAAGCACATGGAATTACAGTCTTATGTAATTAAGAAAATTTAAATGTTAGGCAATACTTAATTTGCTTTAAAGGTTTATTCCTCAACTCAAATAATTTTATGTTTTCATGGAATTCAGAGTTTGGTGGAGAAATGTACTTGCATATGAATAGCCAAAACAAAAAAAATCCCACACTACTGCAGCTACCTGTGCACTTTGCTGTAGCAGGTCTAGCTCAGAATTCAGCTGGTCAGCTCCAGGCTTGCTTCAACCTGTATTAATACACATTCTGCTTCCTATTATTAACTTTATCTGATTTCATCACAATAAGCCCTAAATTCCCTACAAGAGTCAGAACCACATCGAAATGCACATTCAAAGAGAGAAAAAGTCTCGAATAAACCAGGATACAATGTTTGCAAAGGAGACAATTGTTTCATTTCACTGACATCACGGATTCAGTCGTGGAATAGTTTGGGTTGGAATAGATATTTATAGGTCATCAAGTTCAACCTCCTGCAATGAACGGGATCATCTGCAAATAGATCAGATAGCTCAGAGCCCTGTCCAACCTGATCTTGAATATAACTATATAATTCATACAACTTATATAAATATAGTTATGTTTGTTCAAAATTTAGATGCTGCTGGTTTTAACACTTTCAATTTTTTTTCCCCCTAGAGAAGCTCAATCCCCATTACAAACAGGATGAGGGGAAATATGATTCATAAGATTTCTTAGAGTCATAAGACTCTAAGGCTCTTACCCCTTTTGCTAGATAATCAAGAGGTATTTAATGAGTAGAGGAAGGACACTGGGAGGAAAACCCGGTGAATGCTTTACCTTCTTGTATAAATAGCTCAAAAGTGATAAGTAAATTGTTCAAAAAAACCCTCTTCAAACAGTGTATTTATCAGATTTCGGACCATTCAGTTTGCAGAATTGATGAGTTCTTACAATTGCAAACAAAATTGGTGAGGTTCATTCTTTGGTCACATTTGGTAAATTACCTGATGAAAATGCAGCTATCACAAAATTGTTATCAGAACTAAATTTCTCAGGGATTTGGCTCTAAATTTATAAAGTGAACATTTCAGAGGGGTTATGAAAGTAAGTAGTGTCTGGGAAAAAATTGTTAAAGTGTCACAGAAAAACCCCAGAAGGAATTCTGTTCAGTAGAGCTTTAACAGTATAATGTGCTGCAAGTTACACCTGAATGCCTTGCAGAGCATGAAAACCTGACAGATACTGGGAAAATGGCTCAGCAAGTGATCACTTTTCTGCCTAAGCCTGGAAAAAGAAGATCCAAGTGGAGAATTGATATGTCACCGGAGGATTAAAAACTGCATTATTGCATTTATGCAAAGAGAACTTCATGAGGTGTAGAAGCAACTTTTTGCAAGCCTCTGAGAATGAGACTTTGTAGTTTTGTTAACATTACCTATAGTGTGCACATACGTGTTTTAATCACATCAACAAGAACCACAAATTAATTACTAGATTATTTGTTTCTAGTGATCAAATATAAAACTTAAATGTATTTATTTTTTTGTTTTAACACTATTTAGGTGCAGCCTATAGAAATCCATATGCATGGCATCCAGTGTTTTTACCCGGTGCATTTTTTAAGGAACAAAGCTATAGTTTACAGAAAGAAGGAGGTAATTGTTATATTATTCTGCAATTTATACCACAAATCTTAGTGCTAATAGACTTACTTCTCAAACATTTGTATTTGTTTTCTTCCTTTTTTATTTCTATCTCTATGGAAATCACATTTGGTTTAATTGTAGGTTACTAGAAAAGTGTCCTGTCTTCAGCTTGGTTCACAGAACAAGCCATGCTGATGAGTATTTCTGTTCTTTGGAGAGAAGAAAAGAACTTTAACAACGTGAGGTTTCCTTTGTTGCTTTTTTTGGAGCCATTTGGAACAAACATCTTCGGGCCTTCACTCATTGAGATAATAGCTAAGATATACTACAGGGAGAACATGATTCATTATACATTTTTTGAAGATCCACAGTTTTGTACTCATTGTGGAAGGAAAGTCAGAAGGATATTGTGAAGTGATCTTTTAGCATTTCAAAAAGCATGTTTTGACAGTTTGTCCAACATATGGAAACAGTAAAATAGGGCATTTGGTTTATTCTGAAATGAAATTTTAAAACTTTGTCAAGGAAAGGCTATATATAAAGTCCTGTTTTATTTAATGAAATCATCTACTGCTATTTTGGCTGTTATTCCCCATTGCATCTCTTAAAACTGTTGCACAACTTACTGGTTTGAGAATTCAGAAACTGTTTCCTTCACTCAGGCCATTCTAGGAGACTGAAAAACAGTTAAAGATGACCTCTGGTGTTCTTTTCACCTATATTTTATTGAAGTTATGTCATGTTGTGAAAATATTTCATGTACCAAATGCAAAACATTACAGAAAATTCTTCTTTACTTCTTTGCTCTTTGTCACTACTCTCTAAGATTTTATATTTTTTGTGATGTGGATTCTAGTCTCTGACTTACATAGTAGGTATTGTTATTGCTTAGGGAAGTTCAGATTCCAGAATGCTATATTGTGCCTAACACACCAAGAGAGGTGATATTAACATCTTCTTGGAAGTCTTGTTCAGATGAGATTGAAGCTTGCTAAGTGAAACCTCGCTCCTCCAATGACTGAACCTGGATGCTTTTCCTCTTCTTTTCCTGCTGTTCTGGGCTGCAGGGTCAAGGGCACAGGAAATTAGATGTTTTCTCCTTTGCTGTTATGTCTATTTCCTTTCCTCTGCTTCCTAGTGTTCTCTAAATTCCCATCTGAGCTTCTCCAGAAATGTTTGGGAAGAGACCTTAGCAATGAGTGTCTCCTTTTTTCCTCCATGATTGCTGAGGAATTGTGCAGGTTGTTAAGGCAGTGACATATTTCTAGGGCATTTTATTCCTTTTTTCCAGTGTTTTGTCAGAATCAACAGGAACCTAGTATTCTTCCAGTAGAAGAACCTGAAAAAATGGAATGTTCCCCTCATCATCCTTCTCAGTTGACGGCAAATAGGAAACTGTTGAGTATCATCTTTCCTTGAGGAGGTACATTGGCAGAGACAGTTCTCTTCCATTTACACTGAAAATTGCCTTGGAGGTTATTCTGAAGCCAGGTTTTGTCAGGGGAAATACTACACTTACTGTACTGATAGGAGTTAATGTCAGCAGCTATGCTGATATGTGACTGTCTCCCTCCATTTTTCAGTAGGATTCTGAGCCATCACATCTTGTCACAGAACCTGTGGCTGCTTTGGAAAGGGGATACCTAGGTGGGACAAGAAGATTTACACTCCAGCAGCTTTACAGTTTACTGTGAATAACAGCTATGCTTTTCTGGCTACCTATAAACCCACAACACTTGACTGACTTTCAGTGCATGCCTTTCCTCTTCTAGCTGGCTCTTACAAGTCCTAGAAAAGACATAGCAGCACTGCTGTCTCATCATTGAATTAAGAATGGAACTCTGGGATTTTTTCTCATCCCACCATTCAAAATTCCTGTAAAAGGCTTAGAGAAATTGTTCTCTCCTGTTACTGGGATACCAGGTGAATACCCAAGGCTCTTATACACACACGATTTTAAGTGCTGGCTAACTGCTCAGTGCTTCATCATTTTATAGACTAATGCAAAATAGAACTGGAAAAGATCTTGAGAAATGTGACCCTTTCTTCTTCCAGATGAATCATTGTCCTAATCTCTAGTTAACAAGGTCTTGGTCTTCTATTCTGCCCCAGTAAGTATTATTTTATGCAAAACAAAACAACTTCTAAAGGATGACTCTTGCTACACTGATCAGTGCTACAGATCACTACATGGTTCATACCTTACCTAATAGAATGTGGAACAAAAAACAGACATCCTCCTACCCTGCTTTATGTAAAATGAGTGGCACAGAGCAAGACATCAGACTAATTGTGAGTATTAAAGTGCATCCACTTCAGCATGTCTACTCTGTCCTGAAATGTTAACCTGTATCAAATTGTGTGCCTTTGCAGTCTGTTAGGAATGTTATGTAATGTTGGGTTGAGGATTATTCTAATCAGAAGGAGTCTGCACATGACCCAGCTGCCAGCATTTCCTTCTCAGCCCAAGAGAATCCGTTAGATGCTCTGCAGCAGAGTGGAGGTGGGATAGGATGTAGTAAAGGATTGCTTAATTAATATTGGTCTAATTTATCTATCTGGTCAGGATGTAATTCTTATCTATATCATACAGAATTATGGGTCTTCTTTAATTTTTATTCTTTCTTTTAAATATAGGATACTTTTTGTCTCGTGACATCATAAGAGTGCAGCCTCTTAAAACATGCAAGGGCCCCATCAGGATTGGGCTGTCAAGAAAGGCGCGGCCAAAGAAGCTTCATCCTTATCTGAAATGACTTCCTGGATTCTTTTACCAACCTTCACATCTGGGATCACTCTGTTTGAGAACTGTTGAAATGTTTTAACATTAATTTTTTGGTACTTTGATCTTTGCGGTTTAAGGGGGTTTTAGATATTAATATTTCAGTATTTGCTAGTGATTTATTTAGGAATACTCCTGCGAATACTTGATAGCAAAGGGATTTATAATGAATGTTTACTAGTAGAAGTTTTAATGGAAGGGTGAATTCCTTTTAAAGTTTATGTAATATTAATAAAATCTGTCATGTATTTTTTATCTATTAAAATATACAGTTGAAATTTTCTGTCACATCCACACATCCTTAGAATCCTCTGTGTGTTTATGTAGCTTTAAAAACTCCATTTTTTAAAGAGATTTGCTACAAATGTTTAGAGTGATGTAGAAGAGAATTTAAGGAAGTTAAGTTTAGATTGCTAAAAGAAAGATTATGTTTTAGGCTTCAGTGGCAGTTTCCTTTGAGGTATTTCCAGTTCCATGTACTTGTCCCATTAGACAAAGAGTTGGAAAGGAATAAAGCTATAAATGCTACAGACAGATTGTCTCATTCTGAGGGTACTGATTCCATTGCATACATCATGGAGGCAAAATAACAGTGCATAAATTCTGGAGATTATGTATATTGAGAAATGAGACACTTGGAATGCTCTGAAGCATGCAGATCTTGGTTAGGGACATCTAATCCTTATTATACTGATTTTTTTGCTATAAAGAATAGAGGCAGTTTCAACTGAATAAAAGCACAGCAAGAAACAAACTTGAGTGAAGTCTGAAAAAAATTCCTGAAGTGTCAGAACGAGAGTAATCTAGTAACAGGTATTTAGAAGTAAGCTTTAAGCCCTCTGTGATTGCACAGAGTGTTTTAGATGGAGAATATTTCACCCTGCAGTGGATAAGAGAGTATTCAAGTATAAAAAGTGTTATGGAACAATGATGGAATGATGATAAACCCCTATAAAAATAATAATATGTGGTTGTAGCTGACACAAGGAAACTGAGCAAGCTGAATTGATAGGGAATTTATCTGCAGAAAATATATTTTACATAATATCTAGCACCAGTGCAAAGACTAAGTAACTTCAAAGTGATTTTCAAAGTTAATTTCTTTAGCAGTGATATTCAGAATATATCATATGTAATAGTAAGCATATCAGTATATTTACGTTGTAAGGATCTCAAGAAAAATAATTCAGTTCACAATATTGTGAGAAATCAATGAAACAATGAAATCTAGAAAAAGAGTTATAATTTGGTTCATAGTTCCTTTTCTATGAAATAGAAAGAATCTCAGATGAAAATTTGTTTCTAAGAACAGTTGGTTCTAAAATAAGAGTTTCTAAACTGATCTATTGACCACAGATTGTCTAAAAGGTACAGTAAATGGTGTGCACCTGGTTTAAATTTTAATTTAAATTTTAATGTAATTTTTAACAACAAAAGTTGCTAACTTTACCACTAAAATTTGGTGATGCAAATGTAAAACTGTACTTGCTAACTGAAAGCATAATTTTGGACAAGACATTATCCTTCATCAGTATAACTAATTTATGAAAAAGTTTAAAAGGGCTAAACAAATGGATGACTGGGACACATGTTCAGAAGCAGCTCCATTAGACAACTCCCTTGGGAGTATGCAAATGAGGCAGCTGCTGGACAGGAATGGATGGATGGATGGATGGATGGATGGATGGATGGATGGATGGATGGATGGATGGATGGATGACTTTTGAACCTTCACCATCAGCAGCAGACATTTGTGTCTCAGAGAGGGTACCTTGGCATCCCAGGGTGACACTGTGGAGCAGCTTGGGGCCTATGGATGGTAGCAACCTCTAAATGTCAGTAGAGGAATTCTGGTTTCTCAGAGCTTTGCAAGAAGTATCAACTTAAGTTTCTCTGCATCCCAGAAAGAAGAAGCTGATCACAAACCTTTAGCTGAGTGCTGTTAATTGTGTGCTGGCACAGAGCAAGGGGAGCTGGTCTATAGGCATTGGAATGTTCCCCTGGAGTTTTGTCCTCACAGCTGGGCAGACAGTTTTCAAGTGCTGCCAGGTATGAACTGGCTTTAAGGCATTATGTCTTATCAATAGCTTTTTTAGGTCATATTTCTAAAGGCTGATGTTTAAAATAGGAGGATTTCTTAAGATTTGGGAGAGATACTTCTGTATTTAAAGCCCATTCTAGGAATTCTTTGGGAAAGCTTTTCTCTGTGTCATCTCCTACAGAGATGTATCTTTACCCCATAGAGTAATTTTCCTATATCCTCTTGTTCCATTGGCCTGTGATCATTAATGACACAGGGAATACAATTAAAACATTGCATTTTTAATAATTGTGGGGCAGCTCTGATGGCCATGGCTTGGAAATAGGTATATCATTTCCATCCTAGCATATCTGTGCTCCCCCTGTCCAGAGCATGGCAATACCAGGTTTCAGCTGCCTTGAAAAGCCAGTAAGCACAGAACTTTACAGATCAGGGCAAGGATGGCAACCCAACCTTGTGTGTCTACCGGCAGCTTCCGCACCACAGAGTGGTCCAAGTTTGGAGTGTCTGGGGCTCAAGACTTTAAATACTTAGTATGGAGGCTTCATAACTTTGATTCCTAGTTAATAGAGTACAACAAACCCAAGATTTCAGAATGACAAAAGGCCTTTGTCATTCTGAAATCAGTTACTTCAATACAAAGTCATGTATGGAGATGATGTGACCCCACCAAAGCGTACTTGTAATGAACATTCACATAGGTAACTCTGAAACTGAAGGCTAACTGTTCCTTGAAATACTTGGGCAATTTTATTCTGCCTTATAGTAAAATTTAGGATGCCTGAAAACTCATATTAGTCTAAAACCTGCAGAAATTAATATCATGGAACAATTATGTGAAATGACCTCAGAATTATTTATACTAATAATATATTATAGCTAATCATCCTTCCACTGAAGAACACTTCTGCCTATTTTTAAATCAACGAACTCACATGTTTTTAAAATATGTCAGTTTATCTGATGCTTCTATAAGAAAATACTACATTGCTCTTGTCTGCAGAAGACAGAGGTACACAGGCTACTTTTTCAGGACAAGAGATAAAGTCTTAATTCCCAGAATTTATACTCAGTAGCAAACTCCCTTGTGTTTAATGATGCAGCTTGTGCAAGAATGTCCCCAGATATCCTGGAAAAGAGTCTGGAAAATATCCAAACACAAAAACCCAGACAACAAGCCAAACGAAACAACAAAAATTGGACCATGCAGAGAAGTAGAATAGTCCAGCTGAGATATTATGTAAACTTTATGTCTGACTGCTCATTCAGCTGCAGAGAGCTGCTAACAACATGCCCTCATCTTAAATAACAGAGGAAGGGTTGGCACTGGGAATGCTGCCTGGCCTTCTGCCAGCTTCAGCTTCCCCAGCCACCATCAGTTCAGGTACCGCGTTCTGCTGGGGAGCAGCACAAGAGCACTCAGCTGTGCAGAGCAGCGATGGGAGCTGGCGCCGTTCCAGGCACTTTGGGAATTGCATGGGAAAATGCCAAGCCAAGATCCTGCCTTATGTCTTTGCATATGATTGAAGCAGTATGTATAGATTTTGAATTTTTCCATCACAGACACCATATCTGGTGATGTTTTTTGAGTTCTCTAAGCTTGCTAATGCTGACTGTAACAGAAATGCAGTTGTTAAGTGTCATTATACTTTAATAATTATGCAGGAAAGCTTAAATATAATTTCTGAATAATTTTATATCAGCTGCTAGAACAATAGATATAGCTTGGGCTTGTTTAACACAAAAGGAATCAATTATAGCCTAATGAAAACCTTGAATTCCATTATATCTACCAATACATGTGATTTTTTAATAAATAGTAATTGAATGTATTTTTTTTTGTCTGCCTTTTGAATAACTGGATGCAAAGCTAAAACTGCTCTTCTCAGTGTATTTTGAAAAAATGTGGGTGATTAATGAGTGAATATAAGCAAGATTATTAAAATCCAGTTTAATAACAACAGCTGTATATAGAAGTATGGCTGTTGTCTTTATCAGGAAATTTAATGAAGTAATGAACATAATGAAGTTACAGGTAATGAAGTCCTGTTACTCCTACTGTTGGAAGGCAGTTGCCAGACCAAAACAGATGACAAATTTCAGGGAAGTTCATGTGGAGAAATGGTTCAAAAGACTCCATCTATCAAAAGATTGTGCATTAAGGAAGATTGTGCCAAGGCATTTAGTGAATACACTTTACCAAGTTTCATGTGATTAGGGAGGAGTTCCACTTTTGGTCTTACAATTCATATTCAGGTTGGATTTAATGGGAAATCCAGCATGGGAATCCCGTCATGTTATTCCCACACACCACTGGAGAAAACCTGCTGTTTTCCCCTAGGCAAGACACAGAGGTCACTTCTCCTCCTGCTGAGCCAGAGGTAGAGCATTTCTAAACAGAGTGACAGGTAAACTAAAAGTACATTTTAAAAATATCAGGGAAAGTGAAAAGTTAATTTTGTTCAAAATTATTACTGTCAATAATGGTTCAGGTAAAAATGTAAATAAGGGCACTTATTTCAACATTTGTCCATTGACAGTCTGTGTGGTAGATGAACAGTTGATAATTGTCTTTATGAACTGCAGCAATTTAACAATTTATGTTTAATTTCATGAGAAAAATTAATTAACCATAATCTGATAAAATAATAAAAATAAAGCGATGATTATTTTATAAAATATATCCTACCACTTGGTATTTGGTCTGAGTCAATGCTACCACAGGAGTGTGTCCTCCATTATTTGAAATTTTCCTAGTACGAGGCCCCTTCAATGATGAAAATATTTTTAGCCAGGAGCAGTAGTGAAAATTCAATATAAATCCTATTCACTGTATGCACTAAGATGCACAGAATAATCTGCTGTTAAAGCACTTTCTGTCAAAGCTTAAATATGCAGAAATATGCAAAATTTCCCAAACAAATGTGAAAAATAAGTGCATCAGCATGTATATATATATATATGTGTGTGTGTATATATATATATATGCACATGTATAACCTACCACATGTAAAGTATTATCAAAATATATATTCCTATTACCAATGACATTTTGAAGCCTGTAACTCAACACACTGGCAATGATAGATTCAGAACTTGTAACAGATGCTATGGCTGTGTGGAGAGATGAGAAGCAGATTGAATGGACTTGGGAAACCCCAGCTAATGGAGTAAGGTAGGCCCTAAGGTGACCTGAATTACCTTTGGGACAGAACTGTCTTCCTCCATTGATCAGTGGGGGGACCTAGGGGAAGCTTTGCCACAGTCAGTGTTCTCAACAGACTGAAAGAGTTGAAAAATCTTTTTTATCTGTTACTTGGACCTAAGGGTGGAAGAATTAGCTGTTTAAAGTGCTCCCTAGCATTGAAATTCTGTTATTCTTAGGTCTCTATTCAAGCAGCATCCAGGATCTCAGCTCACAACTCACTGTTTACTACACACTCTTGCAACAAAGACTTGGTTTCTGTCCCAGAGGTTTTGCAAGTAATTTTTTAGTCTGTAAATTTGCTTTTAGTTAGTTCTCGTTACTATGATATTTAAACATGGCAAAATGAAAAAAAAAAGTTTTTAAAGAAAGCAATCTTTGGTTTATTTCTACATGGTAGGTAAAGAAATCTTTCCATTTTTAAATATCTCTACTTCTTTGGAGAAGGATGCTGATGGAGTCATGAGTGAAGGGATGGATTACATGTATGCAACAGGCAGGGAACTGTCCCTGGCAAAGGCAGTGTCCTATAGATAGTCTGGAGATGGATTTTGAGTTTAATTCTTCTCATCTGTTTCAAATATTCTCACACTTTTTGGAGAAAACATTTCCTTGAGAAAATGAATAGTGTTTTATGTGCCATTTGGACCAGTTTCTGTGGGCATTATCCTACATATCAACTTGTTCTTCTTCATGCCTCACTTTCTTCCCTCTCCTTAACTTCTTTTGTGCTGGAATTTTCTGAAGTTCCACCACTATGGTAGAAAGCAAATAGAATCAGACTTTCCCACACTCAGCCTAGTTCCAGCACAACTTACCTGCCTGTGCTTGCCAAAGTTGTGAACTCACCTTGCTTGTGCCACAGAGGTGCACTAGAACTGAGCAGCTGTCATGAACTACTGGTCTTGTCCAATGTTTTCACTGTGACAGTTTGTTGGCCATGGGTGGGTGGGGAATTGTCTCAATGTTCTTCCCTCACCACATTTCTGTAGGCCTGTGCTATCATGGGGAGTGCTGACTCTCCCAACTTTGAGCTGGTAGGCAGGAATGGTTCTAAAATACAGTAGTATTAGAAATCTTAATTTCTTAGGGACCTGTGGAGTGTGATGGCCAAGGGAACTTGAACAAGACATTGATTTTGGAGCCATAGTCATAAGGAAAGTGCTGTAAGAATTAAAATATAGCTCTGCTTTTGCTTCCTATTAAGTGTTTGTGAATATTTCTGTACTTATTTCCTTTTATGCATATATATTTCTGTTTTATATGTACATTTTATTATTTGTTTTTAAAAATCCCTGTTATTATCAATATATATGTAAAAAAAACTTGTGAAAAGGGAAAGTTGTAGAAAAATATGTTTTGACATATTTTCAGAAGAGGATGTCTATTGATCCTCCTGATTTTTCAGAAGAGGAGTTTTTTTAAAGGATGATAAAAGCTTGAATTATGCTTGCATGCCACACTGCACTGCTCTTCTTTTATCCCATAGATTTAGAATGCTATTGCTTGAAAATAATTATAGGGTACAAAGATTGGAGCCATGAGAAATGAACATTTGAAAAAAAATTCAAGACTGTTCACAAAACTGAAAACAGCGCACGACATGTTCATCCTGGTGAAAATTCTTCCTTTGTAAGTGCTGCCAAGGTCAATGTCAGCTTGAATTCTTTAATGCATACTGTAAGTGCAAGCCATGCAGATTAGATCTGCCCAGAGCTATTCCTATTTGTTCATCCAGCTTTTAGAAATACATGTTTGTGCTCTTCTATTAAAAAAATTTCCATTAAAGAAATCAGCAGTCCAAACTTGTATCAGGTCTTTCATTATATTCATTCTCCACCTACCTTTCATTTTGCCCCAGAAATACATATCAACAAGTTTCCATCTGCACATTGCTGAATGTATTTTCACATTCAATAACAACAGTAAAATGTATTTCCTGCATTTTCCAGATAAGTTAAAGAAATTAGATTATGTAGGGAATAAAAATAGTTCCATGTTAGGACTCATTATGGGAATCTTAGTATTAACTAAAATGCTGAACTAATAATATTGGACATGAAATTGTATTTTAATTGCTTTTAGCTCTAGGATGAATCTTTACCTGCATGAACTATGTTTTTAGGGGCACAAAGTAATCCCAAGTACAGCAATATTTCATGCAGTCCAACTTATTATGTGAAAGCTCCTATTTTTCTGAAGCTTCCAAGGAAAGAAGAGGAGGAAAACAGTGAGAAGGAGAGAGAAAATAGTCCCTCTTTGGGACTATTTGATATGATTTCTTAAATTGTGAAGTCAAATGAGAGGTTGTTTGGCAATTGAGAGATTTTAGGGCCAAATCTTATACTATTTTTTTGCATCAAGCTGCTTTTCTCTAGCAAAGAAAGTATTGGGAGAAAATATAAATCAGCCTGATTCCTAGAGATCCCTAGAAGACTCCAGAGATTCCTCGGTCCTTACGGATTCCTGGAGATACCTGTCAATATGACAGGGAGGTATGAGATGCTTCTGGGGCAATCACACACAGGAGGAGTCTGTCAGTGTTTGCACTAGAATTTGTACAGAGTCAGTTGTGGCTTTGCCCTTGGCAGTCTCTTCCAAAGAGCTCGGGAATGTCTCTGTAACAGCAGATGGACACTTTTGCACAATACAGGTGTAAAAATCTGCCATAAATATTAAAAACTTCTTCAGGAAAATTGTGGTGTCAGAGGTTTTCTATCATCATCAATTATTCTGGACTATCAAAGAAGGTGATATTGGGCTTCCCAATTTGAAAACAACTGATATTGTTTCACTGGCACTGAGACATCTGAAGTTCAGGGAGATGATTCCCCTTGATTGCCAAGTTAGCAAGCAACTCACTGTCTTCTGGCTTTACTTACTTTGGGAAAAAACAGTGAATTTTTAAAAGTTTAAACTACTATTTCCTTCTGTTTCCTGCTCACTCATCTCTCCTTGCTGTGCTCATTGCTGCTGCTGGTCAAGCTGAGCCTGCATTGCCTGTGTCCACTGCCAGACTGTCTGTTGTGGCGCTGACTTTGACCCATGGCAGGATGCTGGATCTGTTGCTCCCACACTTGTCCTCCTCTGTACTGTTGTAGTTCTCACAGTGCGTCTGTGAGTTACTGAAAGTTTATGTCATACTGTTCTCTTATAGGAAAAATGATCTCTCTTAAGGCTGTGCAATAGGCTGTTTTTTGATTGGTGGCTGAGCCAAACTTGAGAAGTATTGCCTGAATTGGAGGGGGTTTTGTTGTTTTTTTATTTGGTTGGTTTTTTAAAAGATTTCATTTTTGTAGTAGATTTATTTATTTATTTTTAGAATTTTTCTCATAGCAATGGAAGACTGGAAAATAGTCATTGTGGATCAAGGAAACAATTAATTCAACATCAAACATAACATTTTGTTTCCAGTGGAGATTGTGCTAACAAAAGTAAACAATATAATTATGACATTGAAAGTTAAGCACCAGTTGCAAAACTGGCCAGGAGTATTGCCCTCAGTGTGACGGTGGTCACAAGGGTTTTCAGGTGAAGAGAGACGAGAATGTTGATTTCATGATCAGAAGGCTTGATTTATTATTTTATGATATATATACTACATTATTACTATACTAAAAAGAAATAGAAGGAAAAGTTCTCAGAAGGCTAGCTAAGCTAAAAATAGAAAAGAATAAATAACAAAGATCTATCTCTCTGCAGAGAGCGAGACCCAACTCTGCCGTGAGTGGTCAGTAAATCGAAACATCCACAGGAGACCAATCATGGATCCACCTGTTGCATTCCACAGCACCAGATAACCATTGTTTACATTTTGTTGCTGAGGCCACAGCTTCTCAGAAAGGAGAAAAATCCCAAGAAAGGATTTTTCACAAACAATGCCTGTGACACCCTCAGTGAGTAGTCAGGACATTTGCAAAAGATGTGGGGGGCTTGCATCCTCAAGAAACATCACCTCTTCACTTTCTGCCTGTCTGATGCACGCTCTAGATGTCACATTGTGTGGGTGTAACTTTACTCAGTCCTTCCACTGCAGACATTCTACTTTGTGTAATTATTTTAATAGGAACTGACAGCTGCTTGTTCTACCTTCTCAAGAAGTGTGTGTGTAACCTGTTACATCATTCTCAACTTATGAATTTTCCTCCCTCGTGAATATTTGCAAGATGAAAGAGCTTCAGAAGAAGAAACTGGAACCATTTATTTGAGAAAGCATTACTGCCACTGCAGTGGTCCCATACCGTGTTCTGAGATCCCTGTTCTTAAGTGCACACTGAAACTGCTGTTATCTCCTTGTGACTTTGTTGAACTTAATTCCAAATGGTTTTGTTTGTAATAAAGAAGTTTTTATATTCCTGTGTCACTGAGTTCTAAACTGAGCAGACCACAGTGACCCCTGAAGCAGAAGCTGTGCATGTACCAACAGAATTTGTTTTCCATCTTGATCTCTGTAGTTAGCATCAGCTCTTGAAGGAGGATTGATTTCTGATACAATGATATTAGTAATGAGCTGTGACTCCTGAATAAAAAATTGACTCCTTACTGATTGTTTGATCACTTCCAATTTTTAGACAACTGTAGGTTGAAGCGAAAACTAAGCACTCAGTTTCATTGGAATCCACTCCACAGAGAAGTCAAATCCAAGTATATCTGCTTAGAAAAGTTATGATTTTGGTGTCATAATGGTATATAACCTTTTGAAAAGCTTGCAATATATTCTTAACTAATGTGAGTCTCCAAAACTTTCTCCTTGTTTCAGTCTGATACTTCAAAAAATGAATAAAAACTCTTATGCTTAGCTATAACTAAACTGGGGATATTATTCCAAGCCATGCTATTTCTGTTCACTGTCATGATACCCTGATATTTGCTGCTTAAGGTTATTTTCCCAAACTACTTCTTTTGAAAACCCAAGCCATGGGATAAATCTGGGTCCGACCCATTTTCACAGGCAACAATTCTTCTCTGCTCAAACCACAGCTTTCTTCCACCTCTCTCATTCAAATGGTGAGACTAAGGTGATGAAGTTGAACAAATCCCATTATGAAACATTATTTTTCCTTTCAGTGACAGGAAAAAAATTTAATCTTGAAAGTTAAGTCCTCTAGTCATGGGTATTTTAAAGCAGAACTGCAACTCTCCTTTAAATTGCCCCTCTCATGAGCTGACCTGTCTAAAGGAGTAAAGCTCCTCTTTTTTATATTTAGTTCAGCAATATCAGGTGATAAATCACAGCATTTGAGATTATATCCCTGTATGAAATCCTAATAACTGAGTCTATTAGAAGCTTTCTCCTTCACAGTGCTTTGCTATTTAATTAATTTAAAAAAATGGCTTCAAATTCCTATCTTTCCTTCTATATCTTACTTCACATTATAATTTTTGTCCAGAAATATGTTATCTTTTCATTTCACTTTTATGGAAACATTTTTAAACTATTTTTTATTATTTTGCCTGTATCAAATGCTTTTCTATCCACAGTTAAAAGCTGTGCTGAATTTAAACTAGTCTTTTGGAAACTGCTGAAATTATAATTTGTTTATTATCTGAATGTCATTCCTCAGACCATTCTTTTTGTTATGAAGACTGGGATTAAAGTGATCTGATTGTCAAGATCACTATTGTCATTGTAAACTTCTCTGTCATTTTCTCAGTTTAGTAAACCAGTTTCAAGAGAGCTGCCAGGCTATGGATCAGGTAAAAGGGGCAGCAATTGAAGTTCCTGCAGCACTTCCTAGATATGCTGGAACATCTTGATAAGCACTTTTGTAGTCTGGAACCTTTCTTGCAAACTGAGGGAGATGGAGTGGTTTATTCATCCTGTCATTTATTTGTCATGTGGAGCATATGTTTGTCCTAATTTCCTGAACCTAAGGATCTAAGACACTCTGGTAGGAAGTATTCTTTTCTATAAAGGCAAGGAATAAATGATGTCCATTTAACCATCTCCCAGTCATAGACAGAGGTTATGTGTACTCAGTCTCTCGTTAAAGCAGGCTGTGGTGGATAATTCTGGACTTTGCCCTGGCATAATTAGCACCCTCCAAGGCCCTTTTCTGAATAAAATTCATCCTTCTTTGGGGATAAACACAATACAGTATGATAGTGATAACATTTACATAACATTATCTTGGGAACCCACACCAAGGCAAACTTTCAGAATATGCACACTTGTATATCTTAGGGTGCTGTATTATTCATTATCGGTTCCCTCATATCAGTTAGAGGATTGCTGCCATCAAGAATGTCATTATATGAAAATTATGAATAACAAGATGATAGAATTATTCCATATAGATTTGGGAGTCATACAAGCTGTAAAAAGAAGGGCAGCAAAATAAATATCAGGTAAATATGATTTCAAAATACAGGCTCTTCTTAATCTTTCCTGAAGAATAAGACTGAATATCTTTGCACAAAGTTCCAAAAACTATGTGTTTTCTGTGAGAGCACTGTTTGGCTAGAGAGAGCAGTGTGCTGTGCTGCCTGAGCATCAGGCTGTGCTTCCCGACTGAGAGCAGATGTGGAGCTGCTTACACTGCTTGGAATATTTTTTGCATAACACTGAAACCCAGCAAAACAGAGGAATATTCTGCAATTATTCATCTGTTCATCTCTTCACAGATCTGCAATCTGCAGATGTCAGCCACATGAAACCACATGTTTAAAGTAAGAAAATAATAGTATGGAGCAGATGAAGGTAGCTGGTATGACCCAGGAGGTAATTTTATCAAAATTTTCACCTGACATGTCATAAAGTATTCTTGAATTTAAGATGAAAATATCTTTTTTTTTCAAATTTCATATAGA